ATTAAATTAAATTTTATACTCTCGAGATTAACCCGTAATTTGTCCACCACTGAGGATATTTCACGTCAGCACTATGGTCGGTGCAAGCCAGATGCGGATTCGTATCGACCATCCATTGGTGGGATTCGAACCAGGTTCACCTCATTGTAAGGCGAACGCTCTGCCCTCTGAGCCATCACGGCTCGCTATCGATATTTTTCTGATCGTAAGTTACGGATCCCAGTAGATCACCGAAGTTAAGTATCTATGCTCGGTATCGGCTCTCGTTAAACTGCTCTTTTGATAGATTTTGCTCTTAAGTTGTCGGGTTACTAAAGCGGGGAATGGCATTATCTCTACAGAGGATCAATATTGAGAATGCCGGTCTATTGTGTTAGCCCTAGAGTAAAAAGAAACTACCCTCCCTGAAATGCGCTATTCCTGTTTCCATGGTAGCAGACTACCTCACACTTGGTGGTTGGAGGAGGGGGGAGTTCTTGCCATAGACAAACTATACTTGAACTTATATGTTCATAAATTTTTGGATGACTTTTCTCGCGAGGACAATTAAACGCCGATACAAACTAAATTATGAGTTTTGCAAGAAGGAAAGGTTCTAATTATACAATTTATCTGAACAAACTACACTGTATTTTTTTTTTAATTTTGCTCATTAATTAAAGCAGGTTTAACTAAAATTTAGAGCTATGTTTTAGCTTTTAAGAGCCATTCACTAAGAATTATATTTCAGTTTTAGTTATGCCATATTTCAATTCTTGATCAGTGTCATTGAACTGAGTAATTTTTTTAAAGTTTATTTTTTGTTTTAAAATGTATTGTTCAATGTTCTTGATGTATGTATTTTTTTTTTTACTTAAAGAAATTTAGGAGAGTTAAAGTAATTTTTCTTTTGCGAATAAATCATTATAAATGAAATTCATTATTTCACTTAATTAATAATAACAAATAAATGCCAAGTTTGATTAAAGTTGTACTAAACATTTTAATAACAGATTCTCTACGATACGCACGATACGATATGAATTTGCTATACTTACATTTAGCTTTGATTTTTGACTGTGCGATTTATATATATATATATATATATTTCTAATTGAAAAAAATATTTTTATAGTTATATGCTATTGCACAAAATTCAGATTTTTTCCCCAGCGCTTTGGTAAAAATGATTTTTTTTGGTGTTTCCATAGAGCCAGGAGAACGATAAATTCTTCCATATTCTGGATGTTTTTAACATACTTTTTCCCTTAGTGTATCTAAGTATATTTGTGTTTTTAAGAATTTTCATTACTCACGAATTATTTTGAAAAAGAAAAGGAATACTTAATATTTTCTGAATAGTGCGATTTAATAAAATATGCGAATTGAAAGGCTCTTCATATATCTAATAAATAATCATGATTTCATAGTTTGATTAATCTCTTTATGATTTTGTTTAAAAACAATTAAAATTATTAATAATTCAAATAGGATAAATTTGTTAAAATGGTAAATTATGGGATCACGCTAATTTACTCTTGACAATTCTTCTGCCACAGTATATATTTTTTCGTAAGTTTTTGTAACTCGTTTTTTGGTTATTTAAAAAAAGAATAATTGACATCATTAATACGGACTCCTTTCTTTTCAAAATTTATGATTGTATTCAACTAAAAATTTTATAATTAATGAAAATTTAACAGGTACTCTTCGCTAATTTACATATCTACGATGATTTTATTTATGTCCTTAATCTCCGCTTCATTCAAACACATTTTTATCAATCCAGTTCAATCAATGTTATTAACCTGATGGAATAAAAGATCTATCAGATAAGTAATCATTTAATAAAGACTACTTTGTGGAGACAAAAATTGAAGCAAAAATATAAAAAACGGCAAAAATTAAAAAATTTTTAAGACGTGACGAAGACAATAGCAGAGGGCAGGAGCAGGAAATGGGGGGCAGCAGCAGATGTTCCGGTTGGATGGCCAGCCGAAGGCAGAACCCCCAGTGTTTAATCCATTTTATCGGCCCACTGATGGGATGAAAGCCTGAATCAACTTTGCCCGGCCTGATGATCAAACCCAGGACCTGTGGCACGAGAGCTCGAAGCGCTACCACTCAACCATCGGGTGTCAATTAGAGTTTATAATGAATATTAACTTCTGCAGTGGAAATTCGTAGCAATAATCTTTTTTCACGTGTTAGAAATTATTATTATTATATTTTAAAACTAAGCATAATAGAAGTATAAATAAAATTCCTCACAAACTAAGCAAATCATTTCCAAATATAAAAATTTTGAAACGTTATAATTTTACTAAATATCTCAGATGGAGAAAGTTGTTGATATATTTTTTTTAATAAAAATAAAGTCTTAAATTCCACGAAAATGAATCAAATAAAATCTTATACACGTTGTCAGAACATTTTATAAGTGAATTTTGGGGTGGTTCCCTTGTTACACCTTTCAAAATTAGCCAGAATTTACAGTTTTTCTTGCAACAAAAATTTCTAATGGTTGTCAAAAGTCTTTTTTTTTTGTTGAATTATTGTGAATTAGTGTTGTTTAGATAAAAAAAATTAAATATAGTAATGAATGGTAAGATATAGAATGATAGTGAAACATGGTAGTAATTTTACACATTTTCCAAAGGAACTTTTATACATCAAACTGTTTCTTAGTGTTGTTTCCAGATAGATGCTTTATATGTTTTCAAACCAACTTCTATTAGATGGCAGTACTGCACATAAAAACATTTATTAGAAATTATTTTTTTTGTTTTATTTAAACACAACAAATGTGGTCAAAGAAGAAACAATCTTTATTATTTATTTCGAATAATCTTTATTGTGTCCTTTGTTTCATTAATTAGGTTGGCACCCATCACAGCAGTCAGGAAAGGTCTTTGATGGATCCCCTTTTACAGGTTTGCAATCTGGGGGTGCATCTCCACAACTGAAAGAATATTGAAAGAAAATACTTATGCATATATATTTATATATATATATATATATGCTCATCAATATACCAATAAAAAATTTCAGACGCAGTTAAAATTTTCATTCCAAAATTATGGTGAAATATCTGGCAGCTGTTCATCCGATTAACAGTAAAGCTTACGGTAAAGAAAGTTTTTTTCCTTTATGGTTTTGAAACCATTTACAAAAAATATGGTTATGAAACCACGAATACAAAACTATACGTTTTTTATAACCATTTACAATTAGCATTTCTCAAAAACGTTAAAAAAAATTAACTATTTAACTTGAGTTTTGCTTTTTGTAAGGTAATGGGCATTGGAGAGTGGCGGACACTGGAAATTCGTCATGAGTTGAAGGGAATGGCGAAATAATGTGGGTCAGGTTGCAAGGAACTAAGTAGCTTCATTAGGTGGTTCTGATTGGTGCGATAAAATTCTGGTTGTATATCCGTATTAGGTTAAAGCAGTTAATAAACAGTTTTTTTCAAACTTAAAAGTTAGATTACCCTTTTATTAATGGTTATTTGACTGTTTTAATTAAATATAGTAAAATAACCATTCAATAAATTGTTATTTAACCATTTTTTAAGAGAAATTTCTAACAGTGTTCGTCACATTCTAAATTAATTTGTAGTTTATTTAAAATAGCATATTCGCAGCTGTTAATGAAGTTTATTTACAAAGTCTGAGTTCCACTACGAGAGGCTTTATCATTTAAGGTTTCATAGCTGAAAGAAAGAGGGACCCTCTGCTATCAATACTTGTTAATTCTTCATAATTTCTTGATGCTATACGAAAAATATTTAGTGTTTGGTATGGTAAGATCTTTGAAACAGTAGTTATAATCATGCTCACCTTTGTGTTGAAGCCTTGATATTCCCTTTGTTACATATTACTACTTCGCATTTACCAGGAACATGATATGGTTTTCCTGGAGCAACAACAATTCCGTATTCCCTTGAGTAACAGAGAACTTTGGAAAGAACACACAAAATATTATTAGGAATATATATATATATATA